CATTTAATGTCATCTTAAAATGAGATTATCTGAACCATCTGCAGTGTAGGAAGTTGATCCAAACCTAATTGTTGTGAACATGCTCTGGGAATTTGTTTTCAGTTATTTTGACAAAACATTTTTGAAATGTATGGGAAGTAAAGTCAGTTTTTCATAGTCATGCCATATGTTTAGAACTTTTTTTAAAAGTTTATATCAACCAACACACAAAAGAAAGGTGGGAATAGAAACCGGAACAGTTTGGGAAAAATAGGGTCGTTGGATCATTTTGTTGCCTGACTGAGAATGGGTGGACCTACAAGGGTGAGAATTTTGAAAAGAAGAAAGGAGCCGATTGGTGGGCCTTGAGAAAACTAACATTTGGGGATCTGGTAGACAAGAGATAACCCCACAAAGGATATCGGGGAAGGACAAGATACTTGTGTGTCAGAGTGGAGCAGTCGATAGCACCCCTGTCCCCCATGTCGTGAGGAACAAGAAGTGGCCACTGAAAGAAGCCAAAAGAAAATCATTGGTGATTTACTGACAAACGTTGCTTTGGTTTGGAGGAGTTGGAAGCCGAATTAAAGTAAAGGGAGGAGTGATGGGCAGTGATAACCCAGACACAGCCTGTGCAAACAACGCTTAAAAAAATGTGGCCTTGGAGCTGAGGCAAAAGATAGGACTGTCCTGGAGGCGGAGTTGAAGAAGTTTCCTTTCTTTTTTAAAACAAGAAATCAGGATGTGTTTAATGCTGAAAGAAGGAGCCAACCCAAGGAGAGTAAGAAAAATGCACATTGCATAATTATCCCCTCTCTGGGGGATACCCAGGAGCAAAGTCCCTGAGGAGCTGAGGGACCTTTACACCTGAAGAGGAGTCCACAGACCCACCCCGAGCAATGGAAGGAGCTAGGCCTTGCACTCTGGGCGTCATGGCCCACCTGGGGGCCTCAGAAGTAGTCCAGCTGCAGTTCTCCAAGGTGCAGCAGCTGTTGCACAAGTTCGTGGTCATCCTGGGGGACTCCGTGCAGAGGTCGGTGTACAAGGACCTCATGCTCCTGCTGTAGAAGGACTGCCTGCTCACAAACAGCCAGCTCAAGGCGAAGGGGGAGCTGAGCTTCAAGCAGGACATGCTGATGGAGGGAGGCTCGCTAGGCGAGATGCACAACCACACCAACTACCGCGAGGTCTGCCAGTTCTGCTCCAGGCCACCACCTGGTACATTTCTACTTCCTGATGCGCTTGTACTCTGATTACCTGGAGAGTGTCTTGGGAGAACTGCAGTCTGGAGAGTAGGCCCCTGACTTGGTCATCATGAACTCCTGCCTCTGGGACATCTCCAAGTATGGCCCGAACTCCTGGCGGAACCTGGGGAAACTGTTCCGGCGGCTGGAGCAGGTGCTGCCCGAGTTCTGCCTCCTGGTGTGGACCACGGCCACACCCGTGGGCGAGAAAATCACTGGGGCCTTCCAGCTTCCCCGGCAGCAGATCTGCTCCAGCCTCCTGAGGCGCCAAGTGGTGGAGGCCAACTTCCACAGCTTTGCCGAGGTCAGCAGTCGCAGCTTCGACGTGCTGGGCTTGCATTTCCACTTCTTTTTTTTTGCTTTTGATACCACTTTATTCCAACCTGAGCACCTCAATATAAAACTAAACACTGGTGAACCATTTTTCCTAATTTTGTATTATTGTAAATATACAAGTTCTCCTAGCAGTCCAACACAAATAGATTAAATCAACTCTGTCACATGGTAGAATTCATATAATGAAAATACCTAAAATAATTAGTGCAATATACTGAACTGATCGAAATAAAATGAACTCTGGAAAACAAGGCTGCAAGATTGTTACTAACATATCGCAATAGTTTATGCTGGCCAAGAACTATACCATAGCCTAGCCCCAAAGTATTACAGAGGAGTGCAAGCCGCCATAGTTGTGTATGATATCACAAATGAGGAGTCCTTTGCAAGAGCAAAAAATTGGGTTAAAGAACTTCAGAGGCAAGCAAGTCCTAACATTGTAATAGCTTTATCAGGAAACAAGGCTGACCTAGCAAATAAAAGAGCTGTAGACTTCCAGGAAGCACAGTCCTATGCAGATGACTACAGTTTATTATTCATGGAGACGTCAGCTAAAACATCAATGAATGTAAATGAAATATTCATGGCAATAGAAAGTGTTTGTGGCAGTCCTTAGAACACTGATGTGAGCCGAACCTTTTTACGTAGATAGCTCTAGTCAAGTCTAAAAAATTGCATTTCCACTCTTGCCACGCCAGGGAGCTCCTGCATACGGACAGGGTGCGCTGGCACCAGTGCACGCACCGCCACGTGTCTTACCTGCTTCTGGCCCACGTGACCGATCCCTGGGGCTTGCAGTTGCCCAGCCAGCCTGGCCAAAGTGTGGAAGGGCAGCTCGAGGTCAGCAGCGAGCTTCTGGCCATACCTCCACCCCTACCCTTGCCTTCTCCCACAGGCAGCACCCTGCCTGAATTCCCACCCCAGTGCCGGTCGCTGCTCGGGTTCTCCCTCCTGCCCTCACCGCCTCTTCACCAAGGGATGCCCCGGTTCCCACTCTGTCTGCCAGGTGCCTGTTTTTCTGGTCCCCGGCCACCCGTGCCTCTCTTGCTCACAACCTATTGTCGGCGGCAGGCCCCTGTGGTCCATAGGGGTTTTTGCGGGTATCATCCCCGAGGTCCCTATGCACCCCAGAAACGGCGGCCTCAGTCTTCAAAGAGATGAGATCCAGACCACCCAGTGCCAGAGCCTCAATAGATTGACCTAAGTCTTTCTTCCTCCCCATGCATGTGGACTTGACAGATTGGTGCTTCCTTTCCGTTGTCTGGCTTAAACAGACTGTGTAACTTGTGCCCTTAGTACATTCTTGAACTTCATCTTGTTCATTGCTGTTACCAAGAAAGTCAGAGAAGAGCAGTCTGACCCATTCTTACTGACTATAGCTTCTTCCTCGCTTCCTGGGGCTGAACAGGCATTATTCCTGCCTCCCCACTCTCACTTTTGGCCTTTTTATAAAAATAAAATTCAAATACAGAGATGGTTTCAAAAAAAAGAAAAGAAAACAAGTGGGATAACTGTGGTTGTGATTTTGATTCATTGACTGTGACTCCTTGAACTCAATTACCATATGTTTAAATTCTCTACTACAGTAAAATCACATACCTTAAAAGCATTTTATCAATCATACAAAATTATGTTTTTATACCTTATTAATCATACAAAATTATATTTTTCTACTTAATAAATATTTTAATGTGTTCTTATATTGAGACAAATCCTCCTCCCATGCCTAATTAATTCGTGTTGTTTGCTAGATAGATAGCTAGCTAGTAAAGTCAGCTGGTTTGCTAGGTAGCTAAATAGTTAAGTCAGCTAGTTACATCAGATGGCTAGCTAGTTAAGTCAACTAGTTAAGTCAGCTGTCTAGCCACCTGCCTAGCTTGAGTAGCTAGCTAGTTAAGTCAGCTGACTAGCCATCAGGTGTCTTGTTATTACAGCTAGATAATTCAGCTGGCTATTCACCTGTCTATCTAGGTAGCTAGCTAGTTAATTCTGCAGGGTAGCCAGCTGGCTACTTCATTGTCAGCTAGTTAAGTCAGCTGGCTACTCACCGGCTTAGCTTGTGTAGCTAGCTAGTTAAGTCAGATGGCTTGCCAGCTGGCTAGATAGGTAAGTCACCTAGCTAACTCAGCTTGCTAGCCAGCTGGTTAGCTAGGAAGCTAGGTAGTTAAGTCAGCTGGCAAGCCAGTGGGATACGTAAGTATCTAGCTATTTAAGTCAACTGGCTAGCCACCTGTCTAGCTAGTGATGTCAGCTAGTTAAGTCAACTGGCTAGCCACCTGGCTAACTAGATAAGTCACCTAGTTGAGTGAGCTGGCTAGTCAGCTGGCTAGCAGGTTAATTCAGCTAGTTAGTTCAAGTGGCTAGCCAACTTATTAATCATACAAAATTATATTTTTCTACTTAATAAAAATCCTCCTCCCATGCCTAATTAAAATACCATGTACAATATGAGATTATAAAATCTAAGAAATAAATGTAGAACTTGTTTTAGGGAACAATATTAACCAAACTGCTACAAAACAAATGACATTGGTTGAATAAAGTCTTAAATACCTTGAAGCATTTATTTAGAATAGTGAAATGGTATTAAAAGTATTCATAGTATAAGAATTAGCCCAAATGCAGTCATCTCCCATTATATGTCAATTAAATTAAAAACCACCTAAATTTCAAAAGAATAAGAAAATAATATAATTGTTAGTATATCCATGAAAGTTTTTAAAATAAATTATGAAATCAAAGAGTGACTGTTAATCAATTTATTTTTTAAAAAGAATGTAAAATATAGATTCTCTTTTGAAAACAATTATATACTTTGAAGTGACTGTAAAAGAACAAGAATAAATATTACCAAAAACCTCATTATTTATATAATTTTTAAAATTTGTATTTTCTAATTTTCTACAAGGAGGCTCTATTATTTTGAAATTGGGAAAGAAGACAAAATAAAATAAACTTTTATCCAAAGGGTTTGTCAAAAAATTAAATTGAGATGTTTTTCATTTTCTTAGGTTATATACGTGACAATGAATTGGAAGTAACATAGATTAACTATAAAAAAAAAATCTTTGCCTCAAAGAACTGTGAAATTGCTAAAGAAAAATGGATCCTTCTCTCTTGAAGTAATAAAAAAAAAGATAGATACCATTCTTCCTGGAATGAAATAAGCATAGTTTTGTTTCCTGGAGGCTAGAGGATCAACTCAGTTATCTCAGTCAGTTTTGAAATTCATCATTATTGCTAAAAAAAAAAAAAAAAAAAAAAGTGACAGTCTTAAAAGCTTTTTTCGATTTTCAGTATAAATCCTAGTATCATGCATTTTAAATACTCAAGCTGTGATCGCTGAGGGGAAAAATATATATCAAAAGTAGTTCACTATACTAAGACTCTCCTTGTGATTTAATATCTCCTTTGTCTTATTGGTTTGTTTTCTGTCACTAGCACTGGGATTTTGACCTTAGGGAAGGCGCTGGACAGAGAAAGCACTGATCGCTACATTCTGATCATCACAGCTTCAGATGGCAGGCCAGATGGGGTGAGTATGCTCCATAGGAAAGAGTTTTTAAAATAGTATTAAGAATATTTAGATAATCTTGTAGTCTTGCATTCTTAAACAATTTATTACAGACATGAATTAATCTTTTTTACCTGGAGCAAATTCTTATAATTACTAGATAAGTGCTCTTTTCTACGATGTATGTTTTATAGATGTCATATGCTCTGAATTTGCTAATGTGTTGCAACCTTTGACTTGACAATATTTGTGATCAGCATCCTTACCCAACTTACAGGAAAAATAAAATCTACTTTATTCTAACAGGTGTTCCATTGTGCTTATCATTTGCACAGAACTGTGAAATGTATTTGGGAAGTTTTGCTATGTTGGAATCGATTTCACTTAATGTCATTTGTGAGAGGGTGGAGTGTGAGGGGTGGATTTTATGGATACATATCTTTAAGCACTGAGGAAAACTGATTTGGTTGATTTGTAAGTAGCACTCAGAACTCTGAGTAATTCTTGATGATCTAAGTAGTTTAAAAGGGGCAATAATTCTAAAGAAGATAAATTATATTTCCACTAGGCCTAAAAATCAATTTTAAAAATAAATTGCCATTTATTCTGAGGTGTTTTAAAATCATCCATTTTATTCGAAGTATCCTGTTTATAATCACCACTATTCTGATTTCTAAGCATTGTAATATTACAATTGTTAGTAAGTTTATTTTACCATTTCTATGCCACGAATTCGTTTTTTAGTTTAGTTTTGTTTTAATTTTGTTGAAGGCTTATGTGCCAATTCAGCTCTGCTGTCTGGAAATAATTTCAAAGCCAGTACAGATGTATAAGCAAGGAATAACAAATTTAAATAACAATGTGCCATGTTTATTTGAAATGCCCCCCGTAATCCATTGATAAATTGACTGAGGACATAAAACAATGCACTCCTCACATTTGAGGACAATTTCTGAGAAAATTTTGCTATGATAAGAATATATAAAATTGAGATCTGAATAGTTTTATCATCTTAGTAAAAATATAAATATTTTAATTTGCATTTGCAATCTGCTAATAATAAGCTATTTGACATTTTTAGACATTAGAGAAAGAACTACATATAGAAAATAAAATATAAAGAACAGTTTTAGAATACAGTGAGGCTAATAGAAAGTACTTAGATCATAGAAAAGTGAAGAAAAAATCTAAGATTAATTTCTATATATGTAATGTCATTAATTATTATAGTGGCCTGCCTTAGATGTATGTGAAGAAGTCAGTGAGATTCTCTAGAGGAAATAATTAAAGAACTTGACTTATAATGAAAGTTTAATGGGTAACTTGGCTAGGAAATAACTGAGGAGAAATATTCTGAAGATGATGAGGAGGAATTATTTAGGATAGAGTAAGAGGCATAATTAGATGAAATTAAGGAGCTTTCAGGTCAATCATAAGGGTAGAAAAAATAAGAAAAGATAATATGCAGTTTTGAATTATGTCACATTACAAATCAGAAAATAATGGCAATAATATTAACTAGGACATTTTAAGTCTATTCTTAAGAATAAAATTCCATTGGCAAAGAAACAGATGAAAAATAAATAGTGTATTTAGATGTCTGGCATAATCACAATCTAATAATTACAGATTTGTCCATTCAAAAAAAGTAAGTTCTGCTTTAAAATTAGTGGTTTCATTTTCTCTAGATAAATTTTCAGTGATTTACTTGTATATTTTAATTCTCCTTGGCCAGTTCATTTAGTGTTGCTAGGTCCCCATTTTCTCATTCTTATGATCACTCAGGTGTCATTTAGATTTAAAATTCTGATTTTTAAAAGTAATTAAAAAAAATTCTAAACTCTCTGTTGAGAATATGAATAGAGAACCAAACATTTAGATTTCAAATTAACAAAAGCTACTTCAACTTATTTATCATTTACATAATTTTAGGAAGATATATATATGTAGGCATATATAGTGGCTTTCTGAAGAAGAAAGTGATTGTATAAAAATAATATTCTTACTTCTTCATAGCACTTTTCTCATCCAAACATTTAAACTTATGCCCTTTGTAGAGTTATAGTCAAATTAAACTTTTAACCTTAATGATCATGGGTTTCAAGACAGATATTTATTGAGCACAGAAATTTCTTTATTGAGTACAGGATTTTACTTAAATCAAAATGATGACAAGTGATTTGTGTAAAAGAAATTTCCAGGATAAATTTAATATTTTTATCACAAGAAACTATTTTCTTTGTCATTCCAAATGGAGATATAGAAAAAGAGAGCTCACATTATATTGACCATAGTTAATTTTTTTGTAGATAATATTAGGAAAATTTAATTTGATTTTCTTTCTTTTTTTTTTTTTTTAAGCATTTTTTATTATTAACTGACCCTGCAGATCTTGGAGTGTTTTGTTTTCCTCCTTTGAGAGTTCCTGTCTGACTTGAATGTCATGGAAAGAAGCAGAAGTCAACTTCTAGCTGATTTAGATTTGGACCGTATACTTCATTAAAGGATGCTATATTGAGATTGTTGTAGTTTGTTTTTTCTCTCTCTGTCTCTGTCTTTTTAAAAATTGTCTTTCTGCTTATACAGAGTGTGGTGTCATTAAAAGGAATTTTGTAAGACATTAGAAAGTCTTAAAGATCAATTGGAAGGAAATTTCCAATTATTCATCATAAAATTATGATGGGTGTAGTTTGTGCATGTGAGCATGTAACTCTTCTTGTGGCACAGGAAGCAGCACAATGAATGACTTTTAGTTCATGTTAGAAACAGTTCTTTTCATAACTTCTTTGTACCAGGTCTTAGGCTAAATTTTGAAGATAACATGGTGAGTAAATTATGTTTTCTGTGTGCCTGAAATTTATAAACTGTTGAATGGGAAGGACATAATTATTATTAGCACAGTGAAGTCAATACCGTGGTTTTCAGGTGAGAATGATTAGTGGGAAAAGGGTGAGATGTAGGAAAGAAGAGGGTAAAGTATTTCTATAGGTTTTGAAAGATAAGTCTTTGCCAGCGGCAGGAAGCCATGTTTGCTGAATATTGGTTTACTTTGTGCCAGGCACCATAAAGCTCTTTTTTTTTTTTTAAATTAATCATTATTTTTTATTATGGTTTTGTGCGGTACAGTTAAGGGTTAGGTGTACAGTTATGTTTCATTCAGGCACCCTGTTGATAAGAGGTGTTTTCCCATCCCCAGACAGATATT